ATCATTAAAATTATGAGATTGTATTTTCCTAAAAAATTACATCACTACGATGTTATATAATTTCATTAGTTATATGTCACTTTTTCAGTGTTTGAGCATATTTCATTATATTTGTTTTTGCACTTTGAGAGAAGTGACTTTGTTATATAAATATATTAAGGGACAACAAATATAATAAATTGATAAGAAAACGATCAATCAATAAATACTATTGCAAATTATTTCTCATTATTCGTCAATATAACAAATAATCAAAATAATCAGTATCGCTAACAAATAAAGTTTATCCAAAAGATAGGTTAGGTTTCTATATAATTTGCTTCTATTATGCTATCAGTTAATTATTTTTATGCAATTAGATAATAATATATACGATTGTCGTGTAGATTTTTCTTTTATAGATACAAAAATATAAAGAATAAGTATTTAACACGGATAGATCATTATCATTTCCTAACTAAGTGAATAAATATCAGCGTATTATTTCGTTTCCATGTAATCTTTTCAAATATTCATAATATTGAATTTCTGCAGAGACATGAAATTAATATAAGGAATGGTTACAATAGGAGGTATAAGTAACGTTGGCAATGACTCGATCACAAGCGTGCGATTAGCTCAGCGTAAATGTATGTATTATACTACTATTCTAGAGATCTTAGGTTCAAATCTTAGCGGTGATGCGATGCGTTTTTCAATAATTAATTGTAATTAAGAAGACAAGAATATATAGGTATGCAAAACAGTAAATAATAAATTATACTAGAAAAATCAAAAGTAAATAATAAAAATTATTTTTTTCGTTAAGATATAACCGTAATCTTTTTATTATAAAAAAATATTTTTCTTTAAGAAAATTTCTTGTTACATATAAAAAATATATTTCTTTCATTTATAAAAAGAGTTGCAAAACTACATAAATTATTTTTTTAATTCTAATAGCAAGAAATAATTAAAAAACTTCTTCAAATCAAAGAAATTGAGTCGATAAGTATGTCAATAAGTAACAAATAAATAACAATTTCACCCATTTGTGATGTCACAGTGACAAATTTTGCATTGCGTAAATGTTATATATGCATTTCAAGTCAATACATAATTGTTTTATGTCAATCCTGTGTTTCGCCGTTTCGTATTTAAATCATATCACTGTTATATAACTACTATAGGTAAAATGGAATAACAAATTTGAGAACATTCTCCGCAAATTCACGTAACTTTTGACATCACTGTTACCAACTGATTGTTACATCACTGATCCAAAAAATTAAGATTATGTATGAGCTACGAGTTTGAGATATATTTGTGTTTGCTAATAATATTGATTATTATTATTATTATATTGATATTCGAAAAATTAATAACTTTGAAAAGTGATTGGGGATCGAAAAATAAATTGTTTCCGAATCATAGCCACATTTATGTTTAAAAAAAATCATAATTTGTTTTTCGTAATCATAATCATAATAATAATGATTTATTTCATAGTTGTAATATAAATAACTTCGCGGACTCTATTTTTACGTTACCCAGGATGCACCACATGAAGGCATAATTCACGCTTGGCATCGCTTTTTCATTTTTTTTATTTTTAACTTTATATATTTTTTTAATTTTATGATATTTGTAAATACGATAAGATTATTTTTAGAGTCAATGATAAACATAAACAGGTATTTAAATCGAATTAAATAAGATGGTTTTTTTTTAACACAGAAGTGGCTATAATTCTGAAATGTCTTATTTCCGAACCTATGTTTATATAGCTTTTTCCTTTCTTTTTGGATCCCAAATCATTTCCCGAAGTACTGTAGTCGATTTTCTGGACATCCTGTATATTAATTATGTTATGTATATGTTAAATAAATTAATTCTAACTTAACTTTTTTGCATTACATTGCTCTATTTTTAATAATTTTGATTTTTAATAAATTTTAATAATTCGTATCACATATCGTTAAAGTTATTGGTATCTTTTCATAATTTAAGTTGCAACGATCGTTCGTGATATGTTGACATAACGGCAGCGATCACGGGCTCTCATTGAATGTCTCGATGCGCGAGAACGATGTAACTTTATGCACATTAAAAAGCAGGCCTCCGTAAGCACTCGTTTCCAAAAATAACTGGTGAATATTAATAGATACGTTAGATCCACAGCGGAGGAGAAACGAAGAAGTGAGCGTGTCGAGAGAACCGCGATATTTTGGAGTACCTACACACCATGATTCTATAGTTATTTCATGCCACGATACGCACTAAATTCGGTTATGGACGAAATATAAAACAGATTGTACGATTATATCGACGAAATAGGAGATTTGAGATTTCCTTCAGTGATCAAGATTAGGGATAGCTACAAATCACATATTTTGTATTTAGCAGAAAATATAATAAAAAACAATCGTAATTTAATAAAGAACAACTTTTTCAAATCCGAGAAAGAGAATAATTTTTTATTCTTTTTTAATATTAAATATAATATTGGATTCTAGTATGCTTTATTACATAATAATTTAAAAAACTTTAGGATTAAAAATTTCTAACATACTTCATCACACCACAGTTATTGCCCGTAACGTATTGTGTATAAATTTTATTTCTTTTAAAATGAAATAATATTGACAAATGTTTTTCAATCCTATTAAAAAGTTTGTTATAAAGATTAAAATTAACAAGATTTTCATTACAGTTATAATAAACATCTGATTCATTATACCATAGAGAGATCGTAAATTAAGCCATTTAACTTCTCCAACTAAAAAAAAGAGGAGAGGAGTCACATATTTTTTAATACAGAAGTTTATGATCTTTTAAATAATAAATAATGAATAAAATGTAAGAAAAAAAATGTACTGGAAATACAAAAAAAATGCTGTTCTTTTTTCCATATCGATTAATTGATATTGAAGTTATATCGCACAATATATAATCTAAATAGTATAATTTATGAACATTTCATACTCTTATATAAATGATATGGTAAAATTTCATTTTTTTAGTTCCGAAATGTACTTTTAAGTTTTCATTGCTTCATATGATTATACATTTTTCAAAATTCTTATTCAAAATTATTTTATTATCTTTTGTTTGCGATTAAATTAGTGTCTTCAATTAGATTAATTGAAGACCTTTTTTTTCATAAGATTAAGCTATTTTAATAATTTATTTAAAGAAAACCAACGATCAAAAAAATTTGAAAAAATTCAATGCTTGCATATTAATCATAAACTTAATAATCTCAAAACATTCAATTTTTATATTAAATGAAAAGACAGAAAAATCTTCTTAAGAAGTTTTATTCCAGTTAAAAATTCTAAATATTCTATTTATAATTTTAGAGAAAACTTTTCAAGTCAAATTCACATTACGTCAAAATAATTATAAAAACTGATAATTTTTGTTTTAGCTAAGCTTTTTAATTATAATTATAAACTCATTTCAATTTATATGTAATATCTGTATTAACCTTTGTTGAAATTATGCTATATGTAACTTTTCGGTGACTGATAATTTCTAAATATTCACTTTCTCTCTTTTTTTCAAAAAATTACAATTATAAAAATATTTTATTCGTGCTAAATAAAATCAAGCTCATTTTTTAATTCTCTTTTAGATAATTATTTTTAATATTGACAACGATGCTCTTTATAGTATTAAAATAATTGATCCTTTAAGATTGTCTTAGGTACAGTCTTAAGATATCATGAACCAACCAGAGAGTTGTATTAGCATCTTAGAACATTATTTAAGACGGTCTTAAAATAAAAATGGAATACCGGCCTATGAGATTTATATTAAGTCTCATTAAAGTATCAAATTCATGGAGCGACGGATCGCTATATTATTTCGCTGAAGGAGCGGATTATGACACCAAGAGATTTCCAGGAGGCGAACACGCTCGGCTGTTTTCGAATCGAACTCTATTGAAAAGAAACAAAAAAGAAAGAAAGAGAAAGAGAGTAAATAAGAAATAGTCAAAATATTATCCACGAGGATTTGCGATGAAAATAAATCAGACGGATAATTTTGTCGCGCAGGGCTGTACATTGCTGTGATTCTTTAACTTCCTAACACTGAGATTAAGAGTTTGTGATTTCTTGCTAAAAAAAAGCACATTAACTCTTAGTAGATGATTTTTTGACTTATACGATGGATCATTCATGTCCTGAATTTATTTTCATTATTTTAATAAATATACAAAAATTATTAAGTAATTTTATGTATAATTCTAATATATTTTATAAGATTATGTAATGATTTCTGTGGAGTTACTCTCACTTGTTCATTATTTTTCAATATTTATGTATCTTTTTATTCAACACAAACGACAAAAAACATGAATGAACCGTTTCCAACACAAATACACACTGTTTTTTACCATATAACTAATTACTTAATTCTCCTAGTTTACAAAAAAAGAAATGTGCAGAATGATCCAACCATATGTACATATTAAGGATTAAAGATTGCTTCAAAGTCCTTGTTCAAGATGTAGATATCCAGTGATACATTTACATATAATAGTATTTTACTGTCTACAATAACCTACATTACGAAACTTTCTGCGCTTTCAAACAGGGCGCACACTGTAAAAAGTAATGTGTTTTATTCTTGTCCTCATTTTAAACATTTAAAGATGTTTTAGTTTTAAAACATTATGCGTTTTAAATACAAATAGTATTTCGTCTATTGAACAAGTTTAAAATTAAAACATCTTTAAGTGTTTAAAAAAATAGAGACAAGAATAAAACATTTTAATATCTTAAAATTAAACTTCTTTTTCAATGCATTTTATATATTATATCTAATTAGTAATTTCATTTTTATATTTACAAAATGAATTGAATTACAAATGAATTGAACATTAAATTAGAAACAATAGTCCTAGTCGAGAAAGAATATAGTTCATGCAAAAAGACTAAAAAATCAAAAATCTTGCTAAAAACTTTATATTTGAAATATTATAATTAATATAAGAAAATAAATATGCAACTTACCGGCATAAGGACCAGAGGGTAAATTATTATCTTTGTTGCCCTTTCCATCTTTGCCACCGCTTCCTGCAACAGCAAAGAATAATCGAAATTACGATAAGGTATAAACATACAAATATAAAATATGTAGAATATATGTAGAATATATAGAATTTATTTATACATGCATATTGTATATGTGTATGTATACAAGAAGAGTCACTTAAAATAGACAATTTAAATAATAGTCATGTTTAATAATAGTAAAATTTAAAATGTGCTATATTCCATTGAATCGCTTTAGAGTACGCATCGATGCTTAAAAATACTGTTTTGAACATGTATGTACAATATGATATATCTAAAATAGTAAGTTAAGGAAATGATTTTTTCATTTATAAATAAATGATTTTTTTTGAAACCAACTTCGAATGACGTATCATTGTATGCCTTTCATTGTTAAAATGCTTTATTATGAAAGAAATGAAAAACATCTTATTCCATTTAAAAACATGTTGGCGACCTTGAAATGTCCTTATCCTTCCTAATTATAATCAAAATCTCTTCGGATATCTCCCTTGAAATCAAACAGATTTCTATCGTTTGAAGTATTATATTTTTCTCTTTTGCTAACAATAACAGAGTTAACAAAATAAATTATCATAAGGTGACTTGTCTTGAATACCTTCTTTCTATATATGTATATGTATGTATGTGCATGTATTTTGTGTGTGTGTGTGTGTGTGTTTGTGGGGAGAAGGGAGAGGTGTGTGTGTGTGTGTGTGTATGTGTGGGTGGGTTGGTGGTGTGTGTACATATATATATATATAAAGTATCGAGTGGCTTGCCGCTCAGTGCGATTGACTCGTGATCTGTAGATCCGATTCAATCTCACCTACGCCCACATACGCGATTTTTTGTTTAAGGAACTGAAAATGGCTCCATCTGGTGATTAAAAGATTTTTGATAACCAGTGCCGTTCGGATCTGGCGTTAAACTAGGTCCCATATATCATTGGATATATATGTATGGATCTCCTAGGCTCGGTTGCACATTAGGCTAATAACCTAATTCCGGAAAAAATCCATTGTTACTGAAACTTCATTAGAGGTCCTCCAGGAGTTAAAGAAACATATATAGAGTGTCCCGTAATTCCTCCGACTATGCTCGTGGGCAGATAGACCGGCTTAAACTGAGTCGAAAAGTCCTCTACCATTTTGTAATTTTCGCAATAGTTAAGAAAATATTAATTACACTAAAAGTTGCCGAATATTGGTCTTCAATAATTTTTTTCTCAAATACTATCAACTTTACAGCAAGAACTCTACGAACTTTTTCAAAATTTTTCATCAATTTTTTTTAGTACTTATTTTCTTATTTTTATCAACATGATAAAATACGGTATCAAAAAATTCTGAAAAAATTCTCAGAACTTTATGAGAAGAAAATAAACAATTTTTCTTTTACAATTTTTCTATAAAGTTAATAGTATTTGAGAAAAAAATTATTAAAGACCAATATTCGGCAATTTTAGTAATTAATATCTTGTTAACTATTACGAAAATTGCAAAATGGTGAAGGAGTTTTCAACTCAGTATAGTCCACTCTACCGGTATACGAGCATTGTCGGGTGAATTACAAGATACATGTACACACGCGCGCGCGCACACACACACACACACACAATTAAAAGTAGAATTTATTACCAACTTCCATTATTCAAATATCTACAAATCTATATATATTGTAAAGAAATTTAATTATAATGATCTAATAATAAATTAAATGTAGAATTAAATATATTAAAAAAGTTAAAAAAATGCGTTGATGAAACATGACAATCGAGCAAAAAAGAAATCATGCAAAGCCTTGTCATACAAAGTAAAGGCGCATTCCGTTAAGACTAGTAACTGTAAAAAACACGGTAATCGAAAGTGAGTAAATGTGTAATAGCGCAATGTATATGTTACCCAACGAATGTGGAAGTTGGATGAGTTAGTTGAGATAAGGAACGATAATACATTACATCAATTATTCGAAACGGAATGGCTATTTTATTCATAATAGATGCGTCTTCTATTTTAAAATCCCGTTTCATTGTGAAATGGAGATGAATATAATATGGATATATATTTAAAAATATAGGAAAAAATATAGGATATATGATTATAAGATTTAAATAATATCAAAGAAAAAACTTATTGGATTATATTAGGTGTTGGAATTAATTCGTAGCGTTTTTAATGAAAGAATGTTATTTATTTCACATGAGCATTAAAAAATACATTAATGAAAGTACTTCCCATCACTTGTAAAACGCTACGAATTAATTCCAACACCTAATACATGTGAATATATTATACAACTAATAGGAAATAAAAGTCTTTAACAGTCGAAGTTGGATCTTAAGTGCTTAAATTTGATATTATTATACATATCATTAAAATTACATATCATTACGCGCCGAATTGATTTTTTTAGGCTTTTTCGCAATTCTGACAGAATTATAATAGTAATATACTAATTTGATGCTTATAGGCATCTTGAAGAAATCTTAATGCTGATAAACTTATTAAAATTTATAAATAATTTTACGAAAAATATTACCTCGGTCGGGTAATCAAACACAGATCTCCCGCTTGCCTAAGTGTCTTCACACTTATAATTTTTATAATATTTTTCGCAATAAAATTATTTTAATAACAGATTTTAATAAGTTTATCATCATTATTAATCTTTCAGCGAGCGCGCACGTGTTCTTCGTACCCATGCGCCGGTTTTATGAAGGGGATACAGGTAAAATCTATTTACTGGGTCTCGGCTTCCCCCAAGGTATTCCTTCAGTGTCTTTCGGGCTGTCGATTCGCTCAGATCGCGTTCTGTTAGCGTATGTTGTTTACGTAGAATCAATTTTTAAGATATCAGGACATTTTTTCAAAAAAATGTTTCTGCAGAGGATACACAGAAATTGTTCAATGCTGGTGAAAAGCGAGAGAGATGCAAGTTGTGCAAAAATATAACCACCATCCTCAAATGCAACAAATGTTTTCATTTTACTTGCAAAAAATATTCGACGACAATTATTATTTGCAATAATTATACTGAAATATGACTGAAAGCGCATAAAACTTTTTTTTATTAATTCATTTTCTAATAAAAGGTAACACATATTTTTTTAAGTAAATGATTATTTAGATATCATAAACTTTCATCGCATAATGCTTATTTGATGATATTATGCTTTAATCTTTCGAATTTTTAGTCTTATACGGTGTCCTTTGTACACAGCGCGTCTGCTGGAAGGGTAAGATTCTTTTAAAATGCAAATTATTGTATTATTAGTATAGTTCTGTCGTTTTAAAAAATTCAAAAGATAATTCGATACACAACATTTCATGATGACATATATAGTTTTGAATCATTTAAGCACTTAAGATCCCAGCTTCGACATCAAGATGTTGCCTCTCTATGATTGGTTCAAGATGTCGTATATCTCTCTGTGATTAAATGTGTGGACTGGCGTGAACTTTACTTTGAGCATGCGTATATCTTTGGCAAATTTTTGGCAGCAGTTAAAGGGATAGAGTTAGTCTAGTATAATGTATATAGAAGATTGTTTTGCTCACTCTGAGTGCGTTCGCTTTGCACGCTCACACGCTGTTAAAGCCATAGCACATAGAAAAACTTAAGACACAAGACTTAAGCAATAAGCAAATCGACCAATCACAGTAGAGATCATAAGACCACAACGTGAGCAGTAGCGAATCTATATACATGTTGATTTCCTTATCGCTTAAGTCTTACGTTTTAAGTTTTTCTATGTACCATGGCCTTTAGCATTATTACATTCTTGTTGTCTATCAAAATTAAACAAGGACAAATGATGTTTACAAATGTTTGAAAACAAATACTTTTTCTCGCATGCATACATCGCTGTGAGTTTGATCACTAGCGTACTCTTGCGATAGAAATTACAACAGTACGTACATTTTCTGATTCCTTTTCACTGAAATCTTTTGTATTAATTTAAGAAATACACATTAAAAAAAAAATCCTTTTTTTGTTTAGTAATCGCTTTTGACTGATAATCATTGTTTTTATTTTAAATGCAGCGGCATTCAGTGTAATAGTAATATTGTATTAATTTATGTTTTAAAGTAGTACAACGATACAGTACAGGCTTGTTTGAATTTAACAGAACTTATCACTTGTTATCTTTTTTTATTCGCTCATTATTATCTAATAATAAGACTAAGCGCTTATTTAATTGTTTGAATAAATAAGATATTATTCTAATACTTCATAAAAATTTGGTTAATTATTATTGTTCTATATTAAAAACATTTACATAATTACTATATTTATAATATAAATTTAATATTTAATATATTTATAGTATTGACTTAAACATATGGTAAATATACAATGCTTTTAATATAAGGTAATGATTAACAAATTGAAGATTTATTAGAATAATATTTTCTTTATTCGACGAATTAAATAAGCGCTTAGTCTTACCTTCTCTCTCATTATTAGATAATAAGTGATAAGTTTTAAAAACGTATTGAGTCTGTACTACACTATTGTACTATTTTAAAGTATATATTATGCAGCACAATGAACTATTACACTAAATATTGTTATACTTCGAATAAGAATTACAGTCTTGTAGTTAACACTAACTAAAAATAACATAATATTAGTGTTATAATTTTGTATTCAACAATGTAACACTATTGTATTAATTTATGTACTAATTTAGATACTTGTATTAATTTAGGTACTTTAAAAAACTTTATTAGAGAGTACCTCTTTTTGATAACCTTGATATTATGTTGCCAAGACTCTGAGTAACCTTCAATAAGTTGTCGCTTATTATTTGTTAAAAGTTATAGCAAAAAATTTATTGATTACATCATTTCCCTCCCCCTGCCTAGAGGCGTTCGACTTTCAATAGGAAATAAAGAATTTTATTAATAATTAAGTCCCTACTTATGTGGAAAGTCGAATGCATCTAGATAATGAGAAGATGGGGTGAATCTCGTTTCATCTAGGAAATCGTACTCCCCTAATCGGTCCACCCTTACTTTCCCTCTATCTAGAGTTATCCAACTTTTCACAAAGCGGGGAAAAATTATCAACTTGGAATGTTAATAACTTTTTAATGAATAACGAGCGACGACTAAAACCTATTAGAGGTTATTTAGGATCATGACTAAGAGACATATGTCAAGGTCAAAGTCTTCGGAGAGGGGTTCCTTAATGTAAAGTTTTACCTAAATTTCGGTTCCATATAATATTGTACATTTTTCCTATTGTTGCAATTTTAATGATCAGCAGTATAATTAAGTTAATATTCTGTACAAGAACTTAATCATATTTTCATTTTTTTTAACATTGACGTATATTTCCAAAAAATTCGAAATATTATAGTTTGAGGTGAATAATGTTGGAAAGATAATAACAAAAAAAAATAATTAGTCACTGGATAATTTCATTTAAACATTAACAGGGATATCATGTGGCTCCATGTGAGAACGACGGACTCATAATCGGACAGGTCGCGAGTTTAAATCTCGTATTCTGTATATACAGAAAAATTTCGTAATTCGTACTAGCCTAGCAGGCATCACAGAGGAATTCTTTATAAGTAATCCTTTGATTAAGTTTAACAACATATAGAGACTGATATAGTCCTACCTTCTCATTACAACTACTTATTACTATTAGATAATTTTAAACTTTTGAATTTTTAAAAATTCGAATGTGCATTCTAAAAATCTTTAAAAAAATTTCCAAATATGATTCTTGATCACTAAAAAATCAATGATTTTTTTTTAATTTTTTGTGAATTAGAAAAAGAAAAAAAATTATAATAAAAAAATGTTTTACTGTCACAGTAATAAGAAAATAAAAGATTAAAAGTTAGTGAAAATGTTTCTTTCATTGATGCCTAATCAACTCATAATCAACTCTAATTTGATATGCGGACACTTTTCATATACATATTTTGTTACACCCATTACGCAAATTTTTTACTAGCAAAAATTCCTTCTTTTATCACGCTAGTACATCATACACTAGATTGACCGAGTATGACGAGATAGTGTGCTAACTTGTTGGAGATACAGTATCAGCTGCAATTTTGCAAGGTTACATCGCTAGGGGTTGGAAATAGTGAGAGTGGTCGAGGACAATGACATGTATGCTCACCAACGTTGGTCGTCCAGGGAAAGGGAGGTGGTAGTGGTAGCAGCGGTTAGTAGTGGTGGTAATGATGATGGTGGTAGTTGTTCACTCTCTGAATAAATCAATAAGTCCAGCCGATGCACGCTGTTCAACAGAATGGAATCAGAATACAAAAATTTCAAATTGCTGGCTCGTGAAAAATTATTATTTTCACGCGCAACTTGAAATAGAGAAGGTATATCTTTTCTATCTTTTTAATATTTTCACTCCAAGTTTAATAATTCCAAAATCAAAGTCACGCAGCTATCACATTTTACCGTCTATAGACAAAAGAAATTACGATGATCTTAAGGACATTGTATGTGCTAAGATACACACGAGACATTTTTTAATAAATAATAAAAATAATCAATAATAAACGATTTATTGAAACTGTATAATATACTGTGAATACACAAGTAAGGGACAATGTTCATAACAGTCGAAGCTGGATACTTAAATATTTTTCGTGTGAATCTATATTCTACATATGTAATAATTTGAATTGCGCCGAATAAGAAGAGTATTCAGTTTATATGCATACTTCAATATATATGCATACAAATTTTAATCTTGTTATTTGCAATGTGTAAATATGTTGGGAAAAGAGGGAAAAGTTGTATCTAAATTAGGAAAGGTAAATTATGTACAAAAAGATTACTTTTTAAAGTTTGCCCGGGAAAGATTAAAACCCGCAAATGCGTGCAATTTATTTTTTGCAATACGTTGGCTTAGCTAATGTTCAAAGAATTTCGGTATAACTTATTCATCCTGCTTTCTTTCTCTCATTCTATCAAGACAAAATTTAATGTGATACATGTAATCAAGTAGGATGCAAGGCTGTCGTATTAAACGAATTTTACGTAATCTTTTTAAGTATATGTATAACCATTCTCGCGGCTGTATGTACATATGTATATTGATTCCGATGCACGCCTTATAAGCGTTTATGAATAAAATAGGGCGCTCGGTCGCAATTTCCGGACCCGCAAAGAGAAACGCGCGCGCACGCTTATCATCATGTATTTGGTCCTGTTGAAAGATTGGAAGCAAGACACATTATTTATGAGAAAGAGGATATGGTGTCGAAAATGAAATTCAAAGCCAAAAACAACAGATTTAATTAATAATCGTACTTAATTATGCTTTTCCTCAAGTTCTATGAAGAGATCTTACTATTATCGAGAATTTATTTTTTTAATAGTAAATCTAAAAGATATATAAAAAAATATATCGATGTTTTAACTTATTTAGGATACATTCCAAAACGTTCTCCCCGAGGAAAATTTTACTCGAAATATAATATACGTAACATATATTATAGCATATAGAGTAAAATCTTCCTCGAAGAGGACGTTTTGGAATGTAGTTTTGGAATCGTCGTTTAATAAATGCCTCTTTAATAAACGGAAAAGGGCAAGACTGTGACGTAAATAATAATAAAAGTTTTCTAAATATGGAAAGAATCTTTTTTTTTTTAATTTTCTCTTATAATAGTGACATAATTGCATTTTGTACGATACATGGAAATTGTATACTGCATATCTGCGGTGCATTGACGTCGAAAAACGCTATAAATGTACAGCGGAAAACGCATGATGGCA